TAACAACCACCTTATCTGCTTGACCTTATACTTCCTGTTACCTAGTTACTTCATGTACTTTCCTTTAATCCTGCTCTTTACTCCTGGTTTTACCTTCTGACTTCCAATTGATCTGGCTCCTCCAGCGGATCCATTGCAGAGTGTGATGGGTATGGGAAGTTCCCCAACAGCTTCAGCTACAAAAACAGCCACAAAGAGAATCACTGAGCTCCTCTGCTACATCTTCATCATCTCCATCTGCCCCTTTTATACGCTTGTCATCAGCATTTCCACTGATTTCCTAGCTGTCTTGGTGGCTTTGATATATTTAAAGAGGCTTTTATCAGCAGTTAGAGCATCCTTTGCAAGGCAATTTACGGATTATTTTTAGCCCTATTTATTTCCTGTTTAATTATGACCTGACATGTTTTATGGGCTTCCCTATTCTTAGACCACTTTGGGATTTTAGGGTTGGGTATTTTTTTGACTAGTCACTGCAAGTCACTGCAAAAATCAGTCTTCAGCTCACACCCCCAAAACCTAGGAGAAGTCAATTTAATCCTCTTGGGAACTCTTAATAAGAAAAGCTGCTCCATCTGCAAACACTGGACACAAGGCTTTGAAACAGGGAGCATTATTGGGCGAAAAAAGATGGATGAAGGGTGGGAAACTGGGAAAAAATAGCAATTGATGACTTGGCAGTTGCCAAACTTGACAAATGACAGTCCTCCTCTCCCAGGAGTGGCAGATGAATGAGACAGTGCTAGGCTTGCCTCGCTTACCTTCCTGTGGTTTGTGTCCCTGGGCTCGTGAACCCCAAATTTCAAGTAGGATCTTCTGTCCCTGGGTTGTGCCAGGGTCCAGTCACCCTCCTGAGCCTGGGACGAAGCTGAGATGGTTTCCTCAAAACCAGCTAGGAATAGTGATCTTCACTGGGGCATCTGCCTGAATCCCTTCAGCCCTTACCCAAGTTTCCGTAAAAGCTCTCCATAGCATGGGTTTCTGTTGGGGAAGGGGAGCACTTCTTGCTAGAAGGGAGGCTCTTTTCCCCTTACCTCTGTTCCTCCTGTTGGAAGGAGTGCTATTGTTCACCTTGAAAACAACAAGCCATCACAGTCAAAGAAGTACACAAGAAGTGAAAAGTCAAGCCCTTGAGACTGCAATGCTGTCTTACCTTCATTGCTTGCTCTTTCTTGTTTATGTCCCCAGTCTGGCACATCACATGCAGGATCTGTGTAAAAGCAGTCTCAAAAAGGAAATAAGGGGTGGTTTTCAGGCAGGTAACCAAAAGAAAAGCAAAATGCTTTCTGCTTTCAGGCCTGAAAGGTGGTGCCTTTCCCACGCAAGTTTGGATGCTGGGCGTTGCTGGGGAGTGTGTAGAGGCAGAGTTTTGTGTCTCATTTTTGAGGCTGGTTTCAGGCAGTTTTTTTGCAGTGCAAACAGCACAGGATCCAACACTCCTGATTAACCCCATCACGTTACTGTGGCACAGCTCCTCCAAGGCAGCTGCCCAGACCCAGGCTCTTACCCCACCACCATCCACAGCACCGTACGCCTCCCATACCACCCCACATCAATTGAATATGCTCCAGTGTATCCAAATAAATGAAGAATGGCGTGTGACTTAAGTGATCCCAGTACCTCCATATTAGTATGTGTCATAACTGTGCAAACCTCTGTCCCAACTCCTTTACTGCTATTTAGTACACCCTGTGCAGACGTGCCAAGCAGTTAAGCTCTCCGGTGTAATTTTTGGCCTAGGATAAAATTAGGTGGCAGACTTGAGTGGCACCATCTTCCCACCTTCTCTGTGGGTCATGTGCCACCCTGCATCTCCAGGAAGAAGATGGATGGGAAATCCCTGGATGTGAAATGAGTCGTCTGTTCCCTGAAGCCTCGCACCCTGCCTGCAGGCATGTCCTCTCTCACAGCGATGGGTGAGGGTCGCACTCAGCTCCCTTTCCCATGCCCAGTTGGGTTTTAAAGGGTGAACAGCTGAAATAAAGCATGAGCCAAGCAGCAGCTATCATATAAGACTAGAGAGAGCTATTTTCCATGATTACATTTCCCAACAGAATCACAAGTTGCAAATAGCCACACAGAAGTGAAATATCTGAGAGTTTGTGCTTTCGGTACAGAATTCCAGTCCAGATAAAGTAGCTCTAGCAGCCTTTGAAATGCTAAAGAGTACTAGGCTTACAGTAGTATCTGATAGCCCTTCCCCAGCACAGGCTGAATGAGAACTGGTTGCAGTTGCAGAAATTAGCTTTGAACTAGAGCAATAAAAATTCCTCTGCAGTTAAATGGCGCAAACACCTGACTATTTTTCCTGCTTTTATTATCAATCACAGCAAAACTCTAATCGCACCCTCAATAAAGTTTTACTGCATTAAAGTTTCGTTTACTGTTGAGCTTTCAGCTGTATTTCCAACCCCTATTGCTTTGCGAAAGAATAAGAGATAACACTTAAAAGCCTTTTCATGTGCCTCTGTAGCAGGCTCCTGTTACACGTATTTTAGGGATCCTCTGCACTAAGCTGATGGAACCAGGCGATTTACCTCAATGAAAGACCACGATGCATGGGCTGTTACTCTTGATACAGAGAAATCTTTTTATTAGACTCCACATAACCCCAGGTTTCAGTCTGCCATACAGAACAGGGCAGGAGAGGGTATCCAAGCAAAAGCAGCCAGCTGAACGAAGTAGAAGTCTACACTGAGCTTCATGTCTTTTTGCCATCTGTTCTGCCTGTATCCCACTCATTTTTCAGTGTCACCCCGTGCAAACTCCCTGTTCTGCTGGCAGCAGAACATTTTCCTGCTGCTGAAAAATCAGGAAAAGGGGAAAAGGAAAGGGCTTACCAAAGGGATTAGAAGCAGGGAGCATCTCCTTCACCCGGGGAATGAAGGGGACACGCAGGGCTCAAAGAAAAAGAAGGGGGCAACAGGCACAGGGGGCCATACATGAATGAAACTGCTGGTGAAGGGACATGGTCCCCCTTGTAGGGCTTTTCTATCTGGAGGAAGGACAGGGCCTCTCTGCTTCTTGTGCTAAGGATAGCCACCATGCCTTGCTTCATGCTTCATGGGTGAGCACTCTCAGAGGAAAAGTCGAGAATAAGAGACCAAATCTCTACCATCCTTTGAATAAGAAATCACTAGTAGCTAAATCCAGCTAGCCCTGCTCGCATGGAGTAAATAAAGGTTGCCGCATGCATGTTGAGATGCCCACAGCCAGTGGAGAGTGGCTAAGGCCACCAGAATGTGGTGTACTATGGACACCTGCCAACAACCAGCACTGTGCAGTTGGGTGACAGCAGCAAGGGTGACAGGAGTCAACTGGAAGAAAGAAATTCTGCCAGTTAACAGTGAAAACCCAGGAAGGTAACAAAGAGAAACTCGCACCTTTTCACACCCAGCTACTTCTCTCATTGCAGGCAGTTCAGAGAAAGCAGGGTCTATCTTCTTTTGCTGGAGAAGCCACATGAAAAAGACCATGACCTGACTGGTGAGTGGGAGGTGGTTTCCATCACCAAGAGCACTGGAACAACCCATCTGCATGCACATTCTGGTAACCTTTACAGCCACATAGAGTGTTCTCTATCGCTGGCCCCCAAGCTTGTCATCTAAGTTGGAAGACACTTCTTTTTTTTAGCTGTGTGATATTGGCAGACTGACATGAGCAAAGCTGACATCACAGAGAGAACCTTGTCCAGCATTTTTAAAGGAAACCCAGCTGCACTAGCTACGCAATTCCTATCAAAAGCGATAACAGAACATTGGTGCCAGTCCTACAACGATAAACATTTTAGCTTTGTTAAGACTCAATAATATTTCTAATCAGAACCTCTGAGTGAAAGCTGGGCATACTGGTGTCTAAACTTTGCACAAGTTTCAACATCAAATAGTCTCTGGAGTTGTAAAAAACCCAAACACTTACGCCACTGAGCAGCAACATAAGGAGGCCTTGGTACTGAGAAACAATAATGTTTAATAGGAAAAGTTAATCTGGCTATATAAAAACCAAACCATAAAATATAACATAGAATTAAATTATGCTTTAAATGAACTTAACCTATAAATGTATGTGCATATTTTTACATATATATATTAAATATATAAGGAAATGTTAAAGCTAGTCAATAGATAATGCACACTCAGTAAACTACGGTAAAATGTGGATTCTATTACAGATGGATTTATTGAGTGTACATAAGAAATGAAAAATAAAAAGATAAAAAGACTTAAGATGATTTAATAAAAATGCAAAGAATGCAAGAGAAAAAAAAGGTAATACTTTCCACAGGAGATGAGAATGTAAAGTCAACATAGTTACGAAAGATGAAGAACAATAGTGTTTGTTTGCAGGTATCGTTTCTTGTCGTTGTATTGGGAAGGAAGGCTGCATAAAAAGTCAGACAAGTACCATTGTCTCACCCAACACATGTCAGCAGAGATCTGAACTGAGTTCTTTCAGATAGGAAACACTGAGGGGTTGAGGAGGGGAAAAAGACTGTATCTGATACCGTACAGAGAAACAGGTTAACTTCTCATGAAGAACAATTTTGATCTCACTTTGATCTGCCGCAACCCATGCAGGTTGCTTGTAGCTGAAATGGAGTGAGCACAAATACAGGCAAAGCTCTGGGAGATGACATTTTTCAGTATCACACATATTGCCTGGATCATCTTCCAGAAGAACAGAAAAACAGCAAGGTTAGAATCCTGGTATTTTGTCAACACTGACTCTCTTGACAATGTACTGGCTGCCAAAAGAAGTCTAGTTCATTGGAGCCTCTTAGTTCTTTTGAAAGTCCTCCTCTTCTCCCTATCCTCTGCTTCATTTTCCCCTTATTTCAGAGAGTTGTCCATGGTCTCTTTCAAGCAGGGGTCTTACTTTACAAAATCTTCAGAGAATCTGGGGTCACAGACTTTGTTGTCTCCTCTGCTGAAGTAACTGCATTGGTGAGAGGCTGTGAAACTCTTTGGTCTGACTCATTGTCGCAGTGGTCATCTGGCTGCTTAGTATCTGCGCTGCATCCTAAAGCCTGCAGGCTCCCGTGATATTTCATACTACAGAGAATTTGCACAAGAAAAGAGAAGAAATAGAGAAGCGCTGGATCAGAAAGCTTGCTTTTCAGAATAGTTCAGCATGTAGCACAGTGCACTTGATAGCCCTCTCTCTGTGACACACCAGCCCTCAAGAAAAACCAAACAGGCAGATTTTCATCAGTGAAAAGTCGACGTCTTTGGAAAGTTAGAAATGCCAAAATCCACGTGAATCTGATCAAACAACTAACTACATAGATGGCTTTCTTCTCTTAATTGTCAGGTTTTTAAAAGTGTTTTTTTTAGATTTTAAAGATCAGGTTTCTGTGTTACTTCCAGACCTCAATTCTGCAAAACATGTAAGTGCATTACAATTGAAGAAATGTTCTTCGCTAAACAGGGGTGGTTAGTAGCACCGCGGAGGTGGAGCTAAAATGTCGTTTAGACGAGTTTTGAATGGGCAACGTGCTCCCTACTTACTGGACGCGTGTGGAAAGCAGCAAATCAATCATATCACACTGTAGCATTTCTCAAGCCCCTGCTCCCTCTGCAGATCCCTCACAGAGTTCAAGGACAAAACAGTTTTTTCAGAACACTCCTTTCAGCTAAGGACACGCCTCTGCTGAACAGGCTCTTCTGGGCTGTGTCGATGCAAAAGCCATGCGAGGTTTTTCATGGCACTTTACACTTTACCCCTCTGCAATGCTGCAGCAACTGCAGAGGCTCTTGCTGCGAACTAGGCAGTGGCAGAGTGGGTGAGAGGACACCAACGCCCTGGGCAGCTCTGCCAGCTTAAGCTGACCATGAATCTTGCATGAGGCTGCACCTGGGAAGTGCCACTGCAGCACCTGTTGACACTACAGCTGGCTTAAAAGGAGCACAGGTTGTAAGAGCCCGCGGTGCCTGCGTGTGTGCCTGCGCTGAAGGATGTGTTCAGTCAGTGCAGAAGAACGTCCTATGACACAGCAGACCACTAGGTAGCCAAACTGTTGCTTTGACCCTTGCTTTTCACATATCCCTCCAATGACTCAAGGATGACTAATGGGGCTTTAGGAAGGTCTTCATGAGTGCTGATCTCTGTATTAAGGGAAGTTTTTTCAGCTGCAGCTACGGTTGTTTGATTGCCTTTATACCACTTCGGCCTTCTAGGTCAAGGGAGGATGGACACAGTGGAGTTTAAGTTTCAACAATATCTGTAGCCCACAACGCTGCAATTCAGGAACGCAGTTCCCACAGGCCTGTGTGAAACACTTACCATATCATCATAATCCCTCTCTGGAAATCGAGTTTTATTTGTAGAACTCGTCTCATAGGGGTTGTTTGGCTGATATCCTGGATTCAGATGGCCAGAAGTGGTCTGGACTCTGGGGAACATCATGGTCTTTCTATCATCAGAGGTATTCGGGCTGGAATATCCTGACTTTATCAGTCTCTTCTTCTCTGGATCTTGTTTGTATTTGGCTCTTCAGAGGAAATGAAAGAACAAAGGAGGTTTTAAAAGTTTTACTTATTGAGTAAGTCTGACTTACTGAGTTGTCCGCTCCCAACTTATTTTGAATGCTCAGTCCTGTTCTGAAACATGTAACAGATTTTTCTAGCATATGTACTGCAAAACCCTTGTTATCAATGATAGAGTAGAAAGTTTGGCATCTCATCATAATGGGGCTAAGCTTCTAGGAGAGACAGAGGGGGACTTTGGCCTCTTTCAACTAGTTCCTGGAGTGAAGGAGTTATCTTCACCGCCACTAGCTCTAACTGACTATTCAGAGGATGAGATGAGGGATTCATTAGGCTCAGTTAAGAAAAGTTGCCCTTGTGCCTGCAGCCAAAGCTGGATGCTCAAATGATGCATTTGAATTGTCTGTGATCACAAGTCCATACATCACACACACAGTTGGCACCAGCTTGGCCCCCTGCCGACAAGCTATGTCTGCTATAGGTGGTCTTGTAGGCATCTCTACCTGGGCAGCGCTGAGAGCAAAGGCAGATGAGCTGCTTCAGTGCTTCTGTATTTATTATGTGGAGAGAAGTGAGGAGGTGCAACTGCAACTGGAAATTTGCCAGTAACCAGGAACAGCAAGCTTTAAAGAGGTGCTTGGCTGGAAATGACGCCCGTATTGAGCTGAAAGGGGCATGCCAGGCCTTGAGCTGAAGTGTTAGCAGTGGAAGCTGCAGAGAGTCTGAATTTGGGCCACGTAGTCTTCTGATATCAGCGTCTTTCTTCAGTCTCATCCAGATGCCATATCAGTACTGGCTAGGGTAGGATTAGTATTAATGGGTTGTGTATTTTGAAAAACTTGACTGAAGCTTTCATGGTCAGATTCATAGCAAGAGAATAAATACTTCTGGGGAGAGTACACAGGCAAAACCAAATTCTAATGACTACATAACTTAAATGAACTTGGCATGCAACCACATTTGCAGCCCTGCCTCTCCCTAAATTTCTGCTTAGTTCTCTAGGAACATGCAGCAATGCAGCTTCTATTAAATTGTCAGAAATACTCTTACCTTACTGACACAACAGAGAGTGCTACCACTAAACCCAGGATAATCACTCCAAGCACTGTACCCACTATTATAAGGATGAGTTCACTATCTGTAAAAAAAAACAACAAACAAGAAACAGCAATTGAAAACTCATGGTAAACATTGAAAACCAAGTCCTATCTCTTGAAAAAAAGAAAAAAAGGAAGACAGAAAGAAAGACAGAAAGAAGGAAGGAAGGAAGGAGGAAAGGAAGGAGGAAAGGAAGGAAGGAAGAAAGGAAGGAAGGAAGGAAGAAAGGAAGGAAGGAAGAAAGGAAGGAAGGAAGAAAGGAAGGAAGGAAGAAAGGAAGGAAGGAAGAAAGGAAGGAAGGAAGAAAGGAAGGAAGGAAGAAAGGAAGGAAGGAAGAAAGGAAGGAAGGAAGAAAGGAAGGAAGGAAGAAAGGAAGGAAGGAAGAAAGGAAGGAAGGAAGAAAGGAAGGAAGGAAGGAGGAAAGGAAGGAAGGAAAGCAAGACAGATATTGTTCATTCCAGCCTTCTGGTGCTCTCAGTACAACTGTCTGTGGACACAGAAAGATGTAAACAAAGGAACTGATCTGCATTAAAGATCGTCTCTTCTGGATGGCTATTTTGATCCCATCTCAGGTTCCTAATCCCATGCACTTGATGTCTTCAGCTATAGTTGTTCCAGTATAGCTAAGGGACAAGACAAACTGGGAGGGCATAGGGGTTGCTTAAATTAGCATTGATGTTAAAATATGTAGCTAGGTGTCAGATAGGCTCTTCCCATGCCCTAGGCACATAAGACACACTGATTTGAGATGTCTATTATGTGGCAGTATGAACACTGCATAAATACTCCATATCTGAATGAATGTTTGTCAAGGAAAATTAATTTTCACTGATCTTGCTGCAGAACCAGCATGACTAAAGGAAGAAGTCATGGATTCTGCATATCTTTCTTCAACTGTGAATGTAATTGCTGCTAAAATCTAGTCTTAGCTCTGTGTAGCCATGGTAAGGAAAAAAAAAAAAAAGAATTGTGCCCTGCAGGGCGTAATTTGAAGATAAGGATGTGACAAGTAAGACAGTCTCTTGAGCTATCCAACCTTACGAGTGGTACCTACTTGAAGATCCCACTCTGGATTTATGAGTTTGCCATTTAATACACTGAGCACCTGTACTGGAGATACACAACATGAAACCACCAACTGTGCCATTACCAGCAGAACAATCCAGCACATTTAATCATAGCAGCATACATCAAAACAACAGAGAAAATGATTTCTCAAAAGAACATTGTATCAAACACATGTGTGAAGTAATCTTGGTTATTGCTCAGCAAACTTTTTACATCAGTACTCACCAAGTGCCATATGGAGAAGATGAGGCTATTCATGGAGTTTACTATTAGCAGGTCCCAAATTCGTGTTTAAATTCACAATGTGTTGATTTTGTGTTGATTTAGCGTTTTCATTTGCTTTACGAAGAAAGCCTTAAAATTCCCAAAACTTTCTCTTGAAAAATATATTCCATGTAACAAAAAATAACCTTCCTGCCAAACATTTACACCTGGTAAGATTCACTGTGCTGCACTACAATGGCCATTAGCCAGTCTCCAAAACTTTTAGGCAAAACCAGAAGAAAACCCTTGAAGATCTCATAGCTGCAGACACACGTAAGTCAAACGTACAAATTTAAGAATGCAGGAGTGTGAGATTCCAAAGGGCCACATGAGGATATACCTTTTCCTCAAATAAAGCCAAAGGAGTTGTGAGAAGTGAAGAACCACAACTGCTTGGTTTTCAACCTGCCTCTGACTGTATTAGATGTTCTGAGTTTAGGCACATGTGAACACTAGAAGGCATGAAGAATGTTCTCTCCTAATCTATATAATGGTGGAAACTGGAGAAGGTGTAGCAAACAGCTGCAAAACCGACTCAGAAAAGGGAAAAAGCTTTGGAAGGCCAGTCTGGTTAGCTTGTCCAGATGATCACAACTATGCGATAACACAGTTGGGGCCATTGCCTCTTCACCAGTATAGAATACTAAATACTATGCAGTGCTTGCTTGCAAGGTAAACCACAAACAGGAATGGTTGGGTATTAAAGCAGAAACGTTTCAAATGAGAGGAATCCACTGACATTTGAATAGCGGGAGTGATTAATTATAGGAAAAACTAATCTGTTAGTGGTGCTGAATTCAGCATTGCATGTCTTTAGATGAGGACTAAATGCTTTTCTGTCAACTAACTTGTATTTGACTAAAACCTACTGGGCTTAATGTAGACGTCATTAAAGGAAATGCTACTGTCTGTCTGAATATGAGATTAAAGAAGGATTTTTCCTTCCAGGCAACAGTGGAATTTTTTCTAACATTTTCCTGCTATCAATACAGGATGGTGGCACCTCTAAAGGCTACTACTTGTTATTTTTGTTATCTCAGCCAGATTAAACATTACTAGGTATTTTTCCATGCGGTAATTAAAAATCAGAAATTCTTGTACTTACTGTTCGTGCAGTTTTCTCCAGAGTAGCCCACTGCACAGCTACATGGGAGAAAAAAAGGGAAAGAAAGAAAAGAAAGATAAGCAGATGATCACAAAACAATAGTATATTTCTACCTTTTGTCAGCAATTTCTCTGCAAGGTGCATTCATTACATGTTTCCTCTTTATGCTGTCTCTATATTGAATTGTTTAATTTCCTTGTTAGAGTAAAACAATCTGATGTTTTCAGAATGATTGGTGAGCTGGGCACGCAAAGTTTCAGGCTCTCAGCCTGAAACATGTTAAAAGGGCCTGATTTCTCCAAAGAACTAAGCCCTACACCTGAGTGACTTGCAATTCTACCCATTCAAAAACCTCAACATAAGGTCTGTAAGGACTGGCAGCTCTTTATCTTCCTCTCATGCTAGTTTCTTATATTTAAAATATATTGACTTTACAGTTAGAAGTGTTCAGTGTGTGGCAGCAATAACTACAAAAAGAGCTGAATTGATGGATATGAAGAGTAAAGTCCCTCCGCTTATCCACGGGAGCAGAGCACAACCAGTGACCTACTCAGCTTCACCAGCAACCACCACTGCTCTGTTCTGATCCTGAACTGACAGAAATATCCGCAGAGGGAAACCCAAGGCAAAATAACATAGGTCTGAAAGTTATCGGGAAACAGAGTCCCCACTGATACCAGCGGAAATTTTCCAGGGATTTGAGGCAAGTCTTGCTCTAATGCCTGTTGCTTACTAAATGCTTCAGCATATCTGTCCCCATGCCTCAATAACTCTGAAGGAATAGTTTATGTGGGCAACCCACAAAATAAGCGTGAAGTAGTTTATCCTCTTCACTGACTCACAGATGACCTTGGATCTCCTTGACTTTCCTCTGAGGTATTGTGAGTGCACACCAACAGCTAACGACAAGCAGTTAAAAGGCTGTAATTTGTGACACTAAGGGAATTTATCCACCTGCTAGCCACCTTAGGCACCTCTTTGATTCACACAGCTGCAGCCTGTTCTAGGTTGAGGGTGACCTTGTGCTAGATGTTCTTCTCGCCGGTCTCTGCCTAGAACACAGGAACACAAGAAAAAGCTGAGTACTCACGATACACATTTTCCATTCTTCTTTTCAAAGTCAGGCATGCATTTGCAGTTTGGAACCCCGTCTTCTATTGCACAGTACTCTCCGTTTGCTGCAGAACAGTCTTTACTGCAATCTGTATTTTCAGAGGGAAAAAATACAGAGTAAATTGAAGATAGCCTTAAAAAAATCAACATTGGAGAAAATCCCCCCCCCCTTTTTTTCATTTATTGCACTGTAAACATACACAATTTTGTTGTGCTTCAGAGCACCAGAATGGCTTTTTTAGGGCTATACTTAAGTAGAACAGAAACTGAAACACAAAAGCAAAAAATTAGAAGTAAACAGTCTTTGTTTAAACCATCCACCTTCATCAGAATGGAAATCTGGCTAGGCTGCATCTTACACAGGCAAGCAAAGACATGCAGTTTGATCTCACAGCAGACGATTTTTATTACCACTGATCTAAAACTGGATCAATTTTAGATGGGTTAGGGGCTACACTGGATCACGTCTCACTGGCTTTCACGATTCTATTAAGAGTGTTTGCAATATTTTTTTTTTTTTTAATCTCATATCTTAGTCTTTTATCCTGTAGTGTGAAAATTTTAGTTTTCATAAGAAGAAAATAAAGTACACCTCAGGGCTGTGAAGGATGGCTAAAATATATAAACAAAGTACTCATTAAAAGATTCAAAACCAACAAGCAAATAAAACCCCAACAAAGAACAGTTACTAAAAAGTGCATAAATCATTCTTCCCACAAAAATCCTGTATAAACACAGGTAATGCAATCCTAGAACTACCAACAAGGGGCAGAGCTCTAACAGACCATTGTAGCACATCATGAGGCTTCCAGTTCTGTCAGTGTCCCCATAGCTGCCACCAAGTAGCACATCAAATTTATTCCCAAAATATATCCTAGCAGAGAGGGCTGTGAATATAGGATTCAATTTGTTCCATCCTTTACCTATTTAGGTTTCAATTCTTACCAAGAGTTTAACAATGCATTTAAAGAGTTGCCCACTCATTGCTTTCAGTGATAATTTTCTCAGGCTTAAGTAGTTTATCCTACTGGAATAGAATTATGGATGTGTTTAAAGTGAAATATGAGAATGTGTTTCTATGGCATTCTTGATAAGATACATGTTCCCTGATTTTTAGAGGTCAGTACATTTGCTGAGCACCATTTTCAAAAAGGGATTGAGTCAGGGAATAACCAGGTCAGCCTTTCAGGGACAGATAACATAGCAAGGTTGTTACCCGAACAAGAACGATCATCCCATTCTGTCTTTGAGAAATTACTTAGGCATTCGCATGTTGGAAACTCTTTTTCTTCGCAGACTGTGGTTTGAGTGTCACAATTAAAAGCAGCACAATAAGTTGTCCCTTTAAAAGATAAACAGGAAGCAAACCTGAGTACTAACAGTATAATTTCAGAGAAAGCAGTACACTTGCTCAGTAAATCAGAAAACAATTATTTAGCCATTCTGAAAAAAAAAACAGCTTCTAAGTCCTTTTTTTGGGACACCAGTATTGCAGGTATTTGGACCAGCACTTTCTTTTCCCTTGCTCTTTACCAGTTAAGGTGCTGTTTCTTTCACATCTTCTGACCTTCTGTTTTTCAGCCTCCTACAACTGCCTCCAAATCTTCCTGGCCCCCTAGTCCACAAAGGGGGAAATTCTGCCCATAAATTCATATTCTGAACACTGACTTTCTGACTCACCTTAAAAAAAACTTATAGAAAAATCCCAGTACTATTCCTTTATTTTTTTCTACAACTGTGAGGCCCAGATCTCATGCAGTTCTACGTAGATATAAACGTTTATGGGCATGCAGCTCATTTCAAAAGCAATATTAGTATGCTGTTTGCCCAGTGTGTTGGTCTTTAGATCCAAGTCCCAGTGGTAGCAATGGTTTACAAAGCTCAGAGGGTGGCATGCAGTGGAGGTGTGTGATTGCACTGGTACTTTGTGAGCTCTATGTTTTTTCTGTTTTTCCCTCACGTTTAGGACTAGCACAGAGGAAATGTCATGGTTGAGGAGGATACAGTCACTTTTAGAGACCAAACTCAGCCTATAAGCCATGAAATGAACTCCTATAATTTTTAGCTCTGCCGTTTTTTCAAAGCTGATTTTAAAATTGGAGTATATTTAAAAAAAAAAAAAAGAAAAAAATATTTTATTTACAAAATCATTCTCCAAGTATTACACTTCTAGTAATGCGAGACTTCACTGGTTTAGACCAATGAATCACTTAGCTCAGTAGCTAATCAGTGAGGCCTCATTTCAGTTACCATGGTTAATTATGGAAGAAGTTTAAAGACAGTTTTAAAGAGAGTTTCAATCTATTTTACCAGTAAAATACTGGCTTATTCTCAGAAACACATTATATGTCTGTATGTATTTTGTCCTGATTTTTCCAGCCACTTAACACTCAGCAGGCTAAAATCAACATGTCCTTGCTTACTTGGGAATAAGTATTTTCCTTCCCTCCTTTACACAACAAGTAGAAAGCCTTAATAAGACAAAAAAGCCCAGCACTGAATGGTTCAGTCTTCAAAACTACCTAAGATTGAACATTCAGCTACTTAAAATCAACAAGGCTTATGCTCTGATGAGCTTTGCTACACAAAGAAATGCTCTAACCAGCTTTGAAGATAAGAACCACTGTTTCTACTGATTATTTACTTCCACAGTAAGGAATTACATACCTGTGTAGCCAATGACATAGGTTGAATTGTTTATTGCGTTATTTATCATTGAAGCAACCGTATCATTGGTCACAGATGAGTTCTGCACAAACAAGTTTATCACTGTTACCCTCATTTGAAGAGAAGATCTGGCTTCATTTACAGATCTGAAAAGTACAGATAGCATCATTTTAAAGTCTCATATAATCCTATGGATAGCAAGCTAGATGCAAAGACAAGAGAAGATTTCTGCCAAACCTTCCTCTCTCCCCTAGCTTCTTTCATCCCACAATGTGGATAGTTCATAGAATGGTTCAGGTTGGAAGGGACCTCAAAGATCATCTAGTTCCAGCCACTCCTGCCATAGGCAGGGACACCTTCCACTAGACCAGGTTGCTCAAAGCCTCATCCAACCTGGCCTTGAACACCTCCAGGGATGAGGCATCCACGACTTCTCTGGGCAACCTGTTCCAGTGCCTCACCACCCTCAATGTAAAAAATTTCTTCCTTATATCTAATCAAAACCTACCCTCCATGGGAAACAGATTAAAATGGGCTGTGTTGGAACTACGTACTGTGCAAACAAACTGGCACACTTACTCGATTTTCACGATGACAGTCTGTTTAAATTCTGTCTCTACATCCTGGAAGGCATCCTTAAACTATAAAAGATAAATGAATTGGAGTTAAAGGCAAGCAAAAACATAGACCAAAATCACATGAACCACTGAGGCTTCAGCTTTAAATTTTAATCCAGGCCATGCTACTACAGGCACAAATAAAGCAAGATGATCTGTCACGTCCTCCGTGCAAGGTATTGCAGAAGAGGAGTGGTGGGGCGGTGCTGCAGAAAAGGAACAGGGAATATGGGGGAGCAGTGGAGTGATGGAGAGACACGAGTTGAATGAATGGCAGGCAGTGCATTAGGGCTGACTGGCTAGCTACAGATATTCTCTTGCAGACCCATCACTTAGAAGGGCATCTCTGCAGTACTAACCTACAGACAAACAGAGGGAAGAGGGAGAAGTAGACATTCTTACAGATGTCACGTGTCCCTAAGACGCAGTGAAGTGGGATTGTCAGGGGTTGATCTTGTCGGAAAAAGCACAGCACTGATGAAAGCACTGGGGGTTGTATGGGGTCAGTAGAAAAGTCACTGCTCTCCCTAATCCTGTGTGAAGCAGGGAACAACTGGTAGAGGCAGCAGCCTCCGACTGCCACACAAGCAGGAGGCACTGTGAGAAAAGGGTAAGATGTCTAAGTCCACTGAAATGAAACATAAACTATCCTTCTTTGTAATAAAATAAAAATTGTTTTCTATGCTATTTTCACTTTTGCATACTATTACCTATCTACTCTAGTGCTGCATATCATGCACTTCTGCAGCCACGTCATGAAGAAATGTTGGTCAAAAAAACGAGGAAAATATTTTTTAACATTTTGGAGAGACAATTTTGGGTTGCTTTCGGATAAAACATTCATAGGGAGCAATATAATAACATGAAGAATTTGATAACCATTTTTGATGAATTCTGATTAATAATTGGTGAATATTTTTAGATTATCTGTCTGGTAGAGTTGCATACCTTCTTCCTTACTTCCAGAAAGTGACATAAGCAAATCCACTTGCTTATGTCACTTTCTTAAAATCCATAGCTTTCTTTAAAAAAAAAAAAAAAAAAAAAAGAAAATGGTTCATTTTAACTCATACCACTGAGAATTACTGAGCCCTCAGCAAGCAGTGGAGATCAGAGACTAAATGGCTTGGAAAACTTCACTCAGGCCCATGGTTTTTGGAGAGGGAATGGGGAAAGATACAGAGCAATTTCCATGAGAACTTCCTAGAACAGAAGCAGCACCAAAACTGCAGATATTACTTATTTCAGGTACATTCCTTCACTTCAGCAAGAGCCATGCATGTACTCATCTGAGGGCAAAATTCAAGTCTTTTATGAACAGACCTAAACTAGTGTGAAGCATTCTTTGACAGAAGTAGATTTCTCAAGTGAAACTGTCCTAGGCTCCACGTTAAAAGCAGCGTGTTTTCCCTCTGTCTGCATGACATTAAGGATAGCATTTAAATATATATAAACAAAAAAAATCATCACTTACAAATGCTGTTATATTTTGGAACAGCACTTCGTACTGCACGGAAGATACAATTTGAAAACTATCGCTGTATGTTTCATTCAGTGTAATGACCCCTGGGAATATTTCCCCTGGAATAAGAACAGAGAATATTAATTAATTAGAAAGCATTCAAATAAGCTGGGTTTCACCTTAGAGTTCTCCAGCCTTCAGAGATGGGGAAATACAATGCAGAAATCAATCAGTGCTATTTTTTCAAATGCTGGAGGAATCAGTAGGGGACAAATCAATTCAGCGAAAAGGGAGGATGTACTCTGGCTACCTGGGAAGCAGGCAGGATCCTGGGCTCAAGCAAACTGGCCGGACTATGAAACTGAACAACATTGGATGGTAAGCATGGCCTGAAGCTAACAAAAGACTCCATCTGAAGTGTTACAGCATTTAGTAAGAAAATACCTCTATTAAGGACTCCAAATTTGCAGCCCTAAGTAGCTAACGTGGTTCACCATATCATAGAATCATAGAATCATAGAATCATGGAATGGCATAGGCTGGAAGGGACCTTAGAGATCATCTAATCCAACCTCCCTGTCATGGGCAGGGACGCCTGTCAACTAGACCAGGCTACTCAAGGCTCTGTCCAACCTGGCCTTGAACACCTCCAGGGAGGGAGCATCCGCAACTTCTCTGGGCAATTTATTCCAAAGTCTTACACCCTCATACTGAAGAATTTCTTCCTAAGATCTAATCTAAATCTGTTCTTCTTCTGAGAAAGTGATTCAGTGTCTACTTGCTTTTTAGGCTCACAAGTAACTTAAATAAGAAGCCTCATTTGCTCACACACTTGGCCTTCAGCAGCATCTCAGAGATGCATTTTGACAGAACTGTGATGAGTGTTTAGCAATAGGGAAAATAAAGTCAATTATTCAGAGGTCTTCATGGGTTTAGGCCTTTTTAAATCCTGGCCATTAATAATAATGTCAGGTTTACATTTGCATTTTCCCTGCTTTTCAGTCATTTTAATCTCCAGCACCCTTGACAGAGAACTCACCTTCTTTTCCTAGCATATTAACCTCTTTGGCTGCTACTGTTTTACGAGATAACGATCTAGGTCATTGCAGCAGTGGCTGTCTGCAAAGCAAGGCATTATTCAGCAGTCACTTTCCCAAACTGATTGTTTTCAGTTACAACATGAGAACAAGGGACAGGAGTAGAAAAATTCACTGGAGCCGTTATCTGTGAAGTAACTAAAAATATAGGTTGTCTTTCTGCAACTCACCTCTGTGACAATCCTCATTGCTATAGTAGAGTCCATACTGGCACTGGCAGGTAAAAGTGCTATTTAAAGAAACACATTTAGCCATTTTTTTTCCACAAGGGTCTGAGTCACACCAGTCCTCTGATACAAAAATGAAAGATATTGACATCAGGATTTCTATGAAATTGCAATAGCCAGTTCATATATAAAGTAGATCATATATTAAATAGTTCATATATACTTCTACTAAAGGAATCTATTAGGTACGTTTTATAGAGTATAGATGCAATTAAAGAGCACATAACTATGTCTTGCTTG